CTCACTCAGCAGGCGACCTGACAAGACCATCTTAATGCTGCCATACAGAGCTTTGGGACGGACCTGACGCAGCTAATGCAAAAGTGTTTGATGGCGATATTCTGCCCCCTGGAGATGTTTATCTTCCACACCTCTTACTTGTTTCGCATTTTAATCTCGTAGGTTGGTGGGCACGATTGATACTTTTGGGGGGTGAGTGGGATGACTCTGTCTGCCAGCAGACTATGCAAAAGGTACTGACATTTTGTCTTGGAGGAGCAGGAAGAACCCAGTAAGCCTCCTGTGAACAAAGCAATTGCTTACCTTACCTGCTTTCAATACATGATTGGTAACCAGAGTTGGCCATTTTCTGTTTCAATCAATCGAGTTTTGTCATAAGACAAATTTTGATGCCACAAGGCATGCAATGGGCTTATTGTGTTCTACATTCTTGATTATTTGTCCCAAATGTATCGAAGTGGTCCCTCATGGTTGCTTTTACCAGATGTTTTCTATAGTTGTCATGGTTTGCTGGCTGGCAAATGACTGCATCGTATATATGCACCATATGTTTAACACAGGGATACTCTAAGCTGCATAGCAGCGATAATATGAGTTGAATATTAATATGTAACAAATAGTCAGACCCTCCCATTTAAAATGTGAAGCCAATATCTCAAACTTTGTCATTAAATATGAATAAACAAACCTAAATAGATGCCTTTGCTGAAGTTAAAAAGGCAAGCAGCAATACTGGCATAATCATCTAAAGGCTATGTTACTTTTGGAGAAGAGAGATTGTTTTGTGGAGCTTGTCCATTATTGTCCTTGACATAGGTTAATCATCCCATCAAATGAGTTGTTCAAAATGATTTCAAGTATTTTCATTTGTGTGTTCTCATCTTTGTCTGATGTCAACAAGCATACGCAAATGAACTGATTAAAAATGCAAGTTGAAACCAGTCAAAATAAGCTATATCATGTTTCTATCACAAGCGCTGCTGTCAACAGATAGGTGAGTTAAGACGATGTACAACATATGGGCCACTCTAAGTTAGGTTAAGTTGGTTAATTGCGTGGCAAGTGGCAATAAGAATTGTGCAAGAATCAGCAACTCACAACTGCTGCTGTGATAAAAACAGGTTAGACTGGAAGAGATGAAGTAAGGCCTCTTTATGTTAGGCATAGTTAGGCTACTTTCATGGAATAAGCATTGGTGTTTTGTAAGAAACAGTGACAAAATGTTTGTTTTCCCTGACCTCATCTTAACAAAAGCCTGAGGTACGTCTATTGTGTTTGACTTGGTGATGGGCTGATGTGTAGGAATCCAAGTTTTTTTGTTTGTTTGAGTGTTTTATGCTTGTTGAATTTTCTGTTATTTTGTTATTGAACTCCTTTGCTTTGTTTTGTATGTAAAGTGCTGTGGAAGGGAAGTGCAAAGCACAGCATCAAGTTATTGGTTTTCATAACTGCTTATGCTCACTCCACCGTCATGAAATTACTATGCTTTCAGGTGTTCTGTTCGACTTTAACGGCTTCAGATGTTAAAAACCAAAAAGTTTTGTCAGGTTTCTGATATTACGTACATGTCAACTTGAGATAGATGTCTTTGTTTGCTGAAGCATCAGTCACGAGCTCATAAGTTCCATCTTTTGAGAATTGATTTTTTTCACTCCTGCACGTCTTTTTTGCGATGGAATTTTTCACTCCCACCCCAGTTCAAAAGCAAATCTAGCTCCCTGTTTCAAAGTTACTGACCTTCATGATGTCATAATAACGTCATTCAATTCCTGTCATTCCATGAACCATGTGGTGATTTAGGCCAAGAAAATACATTTGTGAACGCGTTCATATCGAGCGTTAGTGAGCGTGGGTTCCAGGTGAAACGGCTATCAATTGGCTCTCAATGTTGTGCAAGGTTTGACGACGTAATCAAGCCATGCCATTGAGGAACATATTTACTGACCAGAGAATTGTGCTGTTTAGAGCAGGCTTTTCCACTTTAAAGCATATAGCTATAAGTGAGCTTGTTTCATGATGTATGCTGCTTGCTTCAGTATCTTTAAATGTGAAACATTTAGACGCGCTCGGGTAGGGGTCAATTGCCCTAACCCCCCTCCCCCCGAAGGTTTTTCCAAAAGGACTTCCGAACGGCGCGGTGTGGCGGCGTCATATTTTGAATAGCTGTAGGCAGTTCAGTACCACATCGCGTAGCATCAATATTTGGACTACTTTGTAAGGTCGGTGAGCTTTGGCAGGTCAAAGTTATGCCATGGATTCAGCGAAGGCAATTTCAAGGGAATTGTTCAATCTGATGAAACAACGGAGCGTTAGACGAAGCCATACATCTCTGAAATACATTCTTAGGAAACACGACAATCAAATGACCAAATTCCATTGACCCAAGGCCAGATACGAGGGTCAGATCAATGTAAAAGCCAACCTGTTTTATTACTTTAGGGCTTGCTGTTTGCGATAGTTTCTGGTGCTCGTTTCAAATTTATTAATAAGTTAAACCGCATTAGACATCTTCTGTAGACTAATTATAGGTCAGAATAGGTCACTGGCCTGAACTGACTGAGCTCAACATTTCGTTTTCATGAGCATACTGCCTGGTTTAATCTTTGTGGCGTATTCAAATGCATAGATCAAAACAGTCCTCTATGATTTTGGTCATTATGACCTTCAAAGATCAAATAAGGTCAATGGCCTTGAATGCATATGTGGCTTTTTGCTTATAACAGGTGTCTAGGTTCTGGGAACACTTTGGAGACCAGCTTGGAGTTCAACCTTGTTTGACCTTATTTGGCCCGAACATCAAAACCTAGGAGGCTCAAACGTTGACCTTAGTGAATTCACGTACAGGTCAACACATTCTTTGAATTTAATGGGTTAGCTCTCTTAGTTCTTCAGATCTCAGCGGAGTCAAATTGACCCCCACCCGGGCGAAGGGTACCCAACCGGCCACCGGGGTGTATGTTAAATACATCTAGCACAGTTCGTTTGATGACAACATAGGTAGGCAATTCATGCACGCACATAAAGCCTGAAGACATCCCATTTCTTAATCTGACATCAACCCCACGTCATTTATAGGCAAACATTGTCAGGCCATCCAAGTATCGAAGAGATCCAACATCACTATCAGCTGGGAGATTAATGAAATGTGATGGGTGGGACAACATAATGACATTTGCAGAAACCCCCAGAAGGTACCAACCGCGCACCCCAATAAAGTCCCTTTAAGCAGTATTTTTGGCCCAAAATCAATGATTGGCTTGCTGAGTGAATACTGATTGCATTCCTCACAATGTGATATTCACAGGTATATGCCATGCAGCAGGGGTGTCATCAATTCCACACTCAAATGCAGCTCTCTATCAGCCCATCGACTTCATGGGTACGCATCATGTGTGTGTGTGTGTGTGTGTGTGTGTGTGTGTGTGTGTGTGTGTGTGTGTGTGTGTGTGTGTGTGTGTGTGTGAGCGCGCGTGTGCGTGCGTGTGCGTGTGCGTGTGCGTGTGCGTGTGTGTGTGCGTGTGTACCAACACACATCAAACAAACACAGGCTTGCATCAAGCGTACACAGGCTCGCATCAAGCATACACACAGGCTCGTGTTAAGCATACGCTGTTAGTTTACCATTTTGAAGGCTTCTTTCAAAATAAGCACTGTCCGTTTAGCTTTGTTTCAGAGCAGTTGTTTTTTATCTAAAGATTTGATCCGAACTCTTTTAATGGATGGATTTCCGGAATCAGAGCTCACGCTAGGCAGTGTTTGTTGTGCGAGCCCTGACCCCTACCATCCGATCGTGCAATTCCAGGCAGCGGCATAATTTAGCGGCGAAGGTTTAACGTGCCGTAATGCTCGCAATGCGATGCCGTCTGGCGTCAACTGACCTCGAGTGCGACCGCTGCCACCGGCCGCAGGCCGTATCTGCCAAGGACCAATAGCGAACGCCTAATGCGACTCAAACCCACCCCGCCACGGTTGTGTGGATCGGACCGCAGGCGCTCTAGCCAACTGAGCCACCGCGACGGACGGACCGTTGGACTGGATGACCTTAACCAATGAATCAAAGCGCTTAGTAATGGTTAATACCAATCTAGTCTTCCAAAAAAAGATAGAGGCATACTTATCATTGCGAACCATACCAGGGTAAGTTCCTATTCAGTTCCAGGGATTGCGCGTCCCATCCCGGTATGTAGGGTTCATATTCTTCATATTTTGTATGCATCGCTTGCAAGTCTACAGTCCAGCCCACCCAAACAATTTTAGAGGAACTATGCCCCGCCTCTCAACTCTGAAATGAAATTCTGCCAAATTTGGAGCAAACTTTCCGAATTGTATTTCGTAGGCAGGCTCAGCCTGTTTTCTTTTTGAGCCCCCGCCCCTCACCCTCCCCCTCTCCCCAAGGTATTTGGAAAAAACTGCATCATTGTAGCCCTATATAAACACATTGCCATGACTCTACAAGCACCTGAAAAAACATTTATTTTGCTCAGATAACGTTATAGTACAGCCGGGTGAAAGTGTTGGCAATCTTCACCATCGTTGCTTCAGTTTGATTGGCGCAGAACTCGCACTTCCTAGCACGGTCTCAATCAACGATATGTTCGTGCGATATCCATGCAATACTGGTATCACAACACGCACAAGACAGCTTTGAACGCCTCTACTACCTTCATTTAGCACCGTATACAACACCATGTCAATAAAAAGCGATTTATGTCACACCTGCCAGACGGATTATTCACGAAATTTGTTGTGCGTTCACTAAATTTGTCGTGTCGTGCGGCCATGTCGTGCGTCGCCAACGTCATTGTCACGTGGCACCCTTCGATGATCGTCGCACAGATTGGGGTATCGCCAGAGACGCTTTGCCAACGGACGCTGTACTCGACTACTTAATACTCTTAACAGGCGCTGCCCAGTGAGCTCCTAGAATCCGCCGCGGGATTTTCACAGCTGGGTGTGCAGGCTCGGCCGGCCCCCGGCAGTGTACAAGTGCTTGCACCGGCTCCAGACCGGTTCACCTGCGTATAAAAGCGCCGCACACAACAGAGGGACCAGCAGGCGCAGCAGTGCAATCACTCAGCCAGGTAAGGTGCTTCTACCCAGGTTTGGGTCTGAGAGTGCGGTAGCTGGTGGTGTCATCATTATTGGTGAGACCGGGCTTGCCAAGCATAGGTGGCACGCAGTGGAATTCGGGCTACACTGTCAAACGGGACGCAGTTGGCCAGTTGAATGCGATATTGAGGCCTGAAAGCGGTCTGCTGCCTGTCTGATGTTAAGAGAGTGACAGAGAACCCGAGCTTCTAAAGCCCCAAAGCGTAACCAGCTTCCAAAATCAAAACTACCCCGTGAACTGTTATGTACCAGAGGGCGTTGGGGGATGGAATTGAGCGACATGAGCTTGGTAAGCATGGGGCGCATGAATTGCAGGTCATTCATACGCTCTGCTGTTTAATGCTGCAACAAATAAGTTTCCGTAGAATTTACCTGCTTCTGGTCTACGTGACGTAAAAATAATAGTTATAACGAGTTATCTAATCATAAGTGAGCTTATTTCATCATGTTTGATGTCTGCCTCAATATCTTCAAATGTGGGTCATTCCCTTTCAAAAAGTAGGTGCCGTGCATTCGAAGTTCCCCTCACAATTACTAGCCACGGATGAGCATGTGTTTTGCTCGCCTTACCTTATTTCATGTCCTAGAGCCCGCGAGCTAAACGGTTGCCAACGGGCATCTGGAAACAACATCATCGTTTCAGGCTAGTAGTAGTTTGTTCGTGGTTTGACCAGTGATTCGTGTTGCGACAGCCATGAAGGTCGTCACTCTCCTGCTTGTGGTCTGCACCTCCGTGGCCTGGGCGAAACCTTCGTGCATCGAGAACATTTGCCTGCCCACCAGTCCAGCCAGTGAGGTGGGAGCTACGGGAGATATCACAAGTGGCACAAGGTTTGGCCATCTCGTCGATTTCGTCGTCCTTACGGCCGCCCGTGTCAAGACTCTGCCCTCCAGGGCCCCTGCAGCAGCCGCAATAGTGCAATCATTTAGGCAGGTAAGATGCTTCAGCCCAGGCTGGCTTGGCTACCAGTGTTGTGGAAAGGTCTGGGGGTGCGGTAGTTTGTGGTGCCATCATTTTTGGTGAGACCGAACTTGCCAAGCAAGGGAGGCAGAAGGCGGAAATCGAATAATGCTGTCAAACGAAACGCAATTGGTTAATTGAATGTTATATTGAGACCTGAAAGCGGTCTGCTACCTACCTGATGTGGAGGGGGTGACAGAGAGCCCCGAACTCCTAAAACCCCAAAACGTAACCAGCTTCCAAAATCAAAACTACTCCTAGAACTGTTATGTACCAGAGGGCGTTGGGGGATGGAATTGCGCGACATGAGCTTGGTAAGCATGGGGCGCATAAATTGGAGCTCATTCATACGCTCTGCTGTTTACTGCTACAACAAATAATGTTCCGTAGAATTTACCTGCTTCGGGTCTGTGTGATATAAAAATCGTATTTATAAGTAGTTATATAGGTATATGTGAGGTTATTTCACCATGTCTGATGTTTTCCTCAATAGCTTCAAATGCGGATTTCAAAAAAGTAGGTGCCGTGCACTCGCAGTTCTCCTCACACTAACTAGCCACGGATGAGCATGTGTTTTGCTCGCCTTACCTTATTTCATGTCCTAGAGCACGCGAGCTAAGCGGTTGCCAACGGACATGTGTAAACACTGTCATCGTTTCAGGCTAGTAGTAGTTTGTTCGTGTTTGACCAGTGATTCGTGTTGCGACAGCCATGAAGGTCGTCGCTCTTCTGCCTGTGGTCTGCACCTCCGTGGCCTGGGCGAAGCCTTTTTGCATCGGGAACATCTGCCGGCCCACCAGTCAAGCCAGTGGGGGGGGGGGGGGGGGGGGCTACGGGAGATGTCACAAGTGCCACAAGCACTGGCCCTTTTGGCTCTAGCAAGATTACGTCCGTCAAGGCCTCTGCAGGGGTAAGTACGCGGAAAAACGAGAGCCGTCAAGAGCACATCTGGAAAAGATGGGCTGAATTAAACTGCGTGTTCGCGTTCCGACAAATGGGAATGGAAGCAAGCCTTAGTTTTTTCAGTCGCGCTAGCTAATATTGCATGGCTTCTAACAGACCGCATGCATAAGCACTACGTTGGATTCGATTTCTTCGGAAACTCGTGTCATAATAGCGCAACGTAAGCACGCATTCGTAACCGAGTAAAACTGAAGAAAACTATGTGCATTCGGCATCGACCCCGTTGCCTCGCCCCTTGCCCCGTTGCCCCGTTTACCTCGTTGCCTCGTATGGTCCAACACGATAATTCACTGCCAACTTGGCTCACCGCCAGGGGTGTATTTCTCCTTCACTTGGTGCAGCGTGTGGGGCACAGCGTGTATTGTGCAATGTACAATAACCTGTGCATGACACAACATGGCGGTGCTCTTTTGTTTTGATATCATCTCTTTTGCAGGGATCCACCAGGGGACTGTGTGTAAACAGTTTAAGAACGGGACAAGCCTTCAACTTTAACTCACAAGATATCTTTGGCAATACGGATGAAAGCGACACTAATGCTGTCTCAAACCAGCAAACCGGCTGCTCAGTGACCCAGTCGCAGTCATCTCGGCATGCGTCGCAATGGCACACATGAACCGCTTGCTACGTCGACAGGCGTTGTGATATCGGACGTGGGATGTGATATGTGATCGAAATGTGCAATGCAGGCTTACCCCCGACATGACTGAACTCTAATTTGTTGGCGCTGCCAGTGTCAGTTGATGTATCTCCCCAAAAGAGGCAACACAAATATCGTGCAAACGCAGATATGCTTTACGTCATTGATAACTTAAAGAATCATCTTGATCGTGTATTAGAGTTCACTATAAGGACTGAAAAATAATTGGGAGCCTGCCATAACTCATAGGTGGCTAGGAGTAAATGGGCTGAACTTACTTATTTTCTACACCGGATCCGAGCTGCCGGGAACATTTAAATTGGAGGCTCCAGTCACATAATATACGATCAGAGATTGTCCGTGCATGATTGTTCACGTTTCATAACGCGTCGTTACAGTTGATATTTCACTCCCAGGCACGTTCTGAAAACTTCAAACGAATATAATGCAAAACCTGGTGTTTTAAAATGTGTGTGAATAGTAAGGGATTGGAAAAATTAGCGTTAACTACGCTGAGTGCAGGTTTGCTATGTTTGTTCCCGATCGTCACTCTGCTTAATTCTACAACCTTGCAACACTACGATCACTTCACTTGATACTTTTAGCGTCTCAGATAATAACCGCGACACCCGCAAGCTACCGGAGCGCGTGCCGGCCGGCCCCGGGCCGAGTGCGGCGAATCATGTCATCATTCACTTGACGTCACGCGGGTCCGACAAGCTGATTGGCGGACCTGCGACGCGTGGAACTAATTTAATGTTCCAGACTGATATATCTCAGAAAGCTGGCAATCGAGCACACCAGCGAGATACCCTGGTTTGATGCAAGCCGCTCTCCCGCGCAAAAAAAAAGAATCGCCGTGGCGCCATGCGCCATCCTTGCTTTCTCGACGCACCATGGGTACTGCCTGCCGGACCTCACCCACAGCAACCAGGAGGCGTGGGCAACTGGCTGTGTACCGTTGCAACCGAGTGCGTGCTGGGCATCAATGTTCTATAATTTTGTCATTGGGCCTGTGTTGTTTTTAGGCGGGCTCTCGGGCCTTGCAAGCGGAATGAAGGTGATCATGAGGCTCTATGGTGCTTCGTTTTACTGCAAATCGCTCTTGTCAAATTCTGTAACTTTTTCCAACCATTTTCAATTTTTTTTTTGAAGAGCTCTTGTGCAGTGCGAGAACAGTGGAAATGGTTTTAGAACACCACATTGCTTTTTTTAGTCGTTTACGCTTATGCAAAATTCTGCAACCTTTTGCAAAAACTTCCCAACTTACCCATTCAAAGCTGCTGGGTCTTGCAAGAAGACTGAAGGTGGTTCTTATGCTCTACCTTACTTTCTTTTGGCCGCAAACCGCCTTTACAACATTCTATAACCTTTTGCAACAATTTTGACCGTTGAATTCCTAACCTCTGAAATCTTGCAATTTCGGTGAGGACGTTTTTTGGTTTCCGCATGCCCATTTCATTTAATGCTACTAACGACCTCACGAATTCATGACACCTGGCCGTCTTGCAAAGCAAAGGGCAGCATTGGCCTGCTGTATCCCGTGATCTTTTCACAATATACAAGTGTGAGCCTCGCCAATTCAGGAAGCACTAGTGCCGCACTACGCAGCGCCCAATCCTGGCCCTGATTTGCCTTTTTTCGTAACGAGGAGTGATAGAGGGAACAGTGTGGTCAAACGCCGTTAAGACAACGGTGTTTCGCGCATCGTAGCTGCCGCCCGTCGCCCGCGCCAGCCGTGGATCGCCGCGCAGTGTTCCTAAAAGCCAGTAACTTCTCGGAAAGGAGAATCACCAGACGCACGTCTTCTATGTCAAAACACGCGCAATGAATGCCTCAGAGGATACCCTCTGAGCCATCTGTGATGCGTATATTGACATCAAAAACTCGTACGAAGTTTTCCTGCTTTTGAGAAGCGATGTTTTTTAGAAACACTGCTCGGCGACCAACGAGAGGTGCGAGCGGCGGGGCCATGTTGTTATATTAACGGAGCCCTACGTAATAAATCGATGTTAAAAGCACCTGAAACTACACATCGTTGCACTCCTGATTAAGAAAGGAACACACCTCTCTAAATTTCGTGTTACTGCGGGCTGGGTACCTCACATAGCGGCAATGGAACTGCAAGCGTTCCATTTTCAGGGAAATTTGACCGGTAGCCTATTTCTATCTGGCAGCATAAAGTTTCCGCCCAGTCGCGAGATCTTGTCAAGACCATCATACTATTTTGTCATCATGCAGCTATTTTCCCTTGTGTAGGCTTAACGTCATTACTTTGACAATGAAAACAAACGAGATGTACAAAAGGGAGTGCTCCACATTTATATTGGGTGTTGAACTGAACTAGTCATCTTGAAGATCTTTCGGTGCTGTTCACAATCCTGCCATTCTTAAGATTTAAGCCCTTCTAGTTTCTGAGCTATACGCCTGCGAGAATGGGAAAAGGTGTGTCGGGGAGAGTATTTCAAAGCAGTGCCCAAGAATTGCCGACTTTGGGTGTAAAGCAACACCCTATGATGATACATTTTTCACTCCTTTTCCCCATATTTTATGTGAATTTTTCACTCCCGCCTGACATTGTCTAATCGCACATGCCAAACCCCTATTTCCCCTTCTGAGGTTTTCAGATGTCATCCAAAACCGAGCTCACTTGAAACCACCAAGCATAAACGAGGCTCCACAGAACCTGGACACCTATGGCTATGTCCTGCCCCACCTACATCTGAATCATGTCTATGTATGCACAGAGCAAGGGTGCCAGGTACCTCCAAGCCCAAGAACCCCAGCGACTCCAGCCGCTTGCACGCATTAAGTTTGGTTTGTTTACAAAATGCATTACAATGGGCAGCTGTGTGCCAAATGCAAGGTTTTCACGCGCCCCCTAATTTTTCGTCTCACCGCCACACCACGAGAGCAGAGGCTGGTGCAAACACCAGCAAGGCCTGGAGATAATTTTATTCCACGTATTTCTTTTTCCCCGCGGAAACTTGACCACTAAATTGCATCACTCCCGAAATGCAAGAACGAAGGATTCAAGAAATGTCTTCCAAATTAAATTTACAAGATGAGTATCACCATTTGAGCATTTATTTTAACAAATTTGAGTCAAATCAGCTGATTACAAATTTTGCCAGAAAAGTATCAGGCTTTATATTTATTTAGCTACTTGTATTATTCTTGGTATCAAACGAGTGTGATACCACTTTATTCTTCCTTCCTTTTCGATTGCCTTTAGAGGTACCATCTGTTGCTTAAAATGTTGACCAATTTCTCTGCAAGATGCTCCAACCGCAAACTTATACATATTTTATACATCAACTGGATTAATTCGCCAGCCGCCCACACATGTTTGATATGCACCCAAGAGTGAACAATTCACAGGAAATGAAGGAGACAATTTGAAGCACGGAACTTACTTTTACCGCCATTTTTGCGCTGTTAAACCTCGGTTAGCCATTTTTTGGTTCATGGCGGTGCTCGATAATGATAAATCTAAGCTTTTCGAGTGTCTCACTCAGCAGGCTACCTGACAAGACCATCTTAATGCTACCATACAGAGTTTTGGGACGGACCTGACGCAGCTAATGCAGAAGTGTTTGGTGGCGAAATTCTGCCCTCTGGAGATATTTATCTTGCACACCTCTTACTTGTTTCGCATTTTAATCTCGTAGGTTGGTGGGCATGATTGATACTTATATTTGGGGGGTGAGTGGGATGACTCTGTCTGCCAGCAGACTATGCAAAAGGTACTGACATTTTGTCTTGGAGGAGCAGGAAGAACCCAGTAAGCCTCCTGTGAACAAAGCAATTGCTTACCTTACCTGCTTTCATTACATGATTGGCAACCAGAGTTGGCCATTTTCTGTTTCAATCAATCGAATGCTGTCATAAGACAAATTATGATACCACAAGGCATGCAATGGGCTTATTTTGTTCTATATTCTTCATTATTTGTCCCAAATGTATTGAAGTGGTCCCTCATGGTTGCTTTTACGAGATGTTTTCTATAGTTGTCATGGTTTGCTGGCTGGCAAATGACTGCATCGTATTTACGCATTATGTGTTTAACACAGGGATACTCTAAGCTGCATAGCAGCGATAATATGAGTTGAATATTAGTATGTAACAAATAGTCAGACCCTCCCATTTAAAATGTGAAGCCAATATCTCAAACTTTGTCATTAAATATGAATAAACAAACCTAAATAGATGCC